CCCCCCCCCCCCCCCCCCTCCCCCCCGCCCAAAAGGCATTTCGGGCAGGGGGGGGGGGGGCTGGAGCAGACCCTGGCCTGGGGCGCTCCCACACCTTAATTGCTTAGGGACCCTCCCTCTCCCACTGAAGCCGGAGCCCCGGCATGGCTGTTGCCGAGCCCCTTGCTCTGGCTCCCTGCTAGGATCAGCAAAAGGTTTCCTGGCCCACGGAGGGCAGCAGGATGGTTTTGGTCCTGGGAAGTCACCCCCAGCTAGCCAGAACTGCACCGGGGCCTGGGGCCTGGAAGCCCCGTGCAGTACCCGGACGTTGGCAGCTCTCCGCAAAGCAAGCCCCCTTCCCACCCTCCCCACTGCTCCACCTCAATGCCAGAAGTGCCTTTGGGGCGGGTGGAAGGAGAGGGCTGGTAGGAAAAACCGGAACTGGGGCCTGGCAGCTGTTGAAACTGCTTCATATCACAGTTTGGGTGGCCTGGTTAATCGGCAAGTTGCAGGGAGGCAGTTGAGAGGGCAGTCCTTTGCGCAAACAGCCCTGTTCTCCCCACAAGCTTTACGTCCGCCCGGGGTATTGTTCAAGCGGCCCTTTGCCAGTCCAAGATGGGCTCTCCCGTCCTCACCGCTGAGCACCATCGGGGTTGTGTCTGTTCGGCTGCTGACGCTCCCTGACTGTGTCAGAAAACACGCTTCCTGGTCCGCGAGACCCTTGTGGGACGCCGGCGACTTTGCTCCTGTTCCCAGTCCTCCTTCACAGAAACCCACAATCTCCTGCCCGCGCTGGTAGGACAATCGTGGCAGGGGGTATGTGGATGCCCACTCTCCCGCTCTTCTCTTCCCTCCTCACCCGTGTCCCTGGGAGCAACAAGTTCATCTTTGCTGCCCTTGAGTTCTTGACTTCCGGAAGTAGAACGCGTGCGCTTGTTCTTTTCACATGGGAACACTCATGTTCAGGGCTAGATCAGCTGAACTCGGTTCAGGCAATCTGACAGGTCAGCCCGCCCGCCCTCCTTCAGCTCCTCAGATCAGCTCGGAGCTTATTCTGAGGGTGCAAGAAGGACTGCAAAACTGGGGGAGGCGGAACCCCTTTTCCCCCATTGCACTAGGAAGCCCAGGTTGTGCGTGCACAGGCCTCTTTCGGAGGTCCGGCGAACCGGCTCTGCCCAGGGGCTGCCTGCTGGAAGCCGCGGGGCTGCCCCCGTTCCGGCCGCTCAGCCAACTCCTCTTCCCCCGCAGAGGAACCTTCCTGACGAAGAAGCAGGATCAGGCCGCTCGTAAGATCATGCGGTTCTTGCGGCGCTGTCGGCACAGGTACGGCGGGAAGGGCAGGGCGGGGGCAGAGACCGAGGGGGCTCCTGCGGCGGCCGAGCAGGGCACAGAAATGCCGAAGAAGCTGCAAGACGAGTTTGGGGCTTTAGAAAATCCCGATGAGACCCACAGATGAGGGTCTCGGGGAGGGGGCTTCTCTCTCCCACCACCACCGTGTCTGCAGACCGTGTGGCGCATGCAGTAGCTCCGCATCGGGCCAGCTGGCTGCAGACGGGGTGGGCGCTCTACCTGAGGGACGGAGGGGGGTTCCCACTCCCTTCAGATGCTGCCTTCTCTGGGTCACCCCCAAACAGGATGAAAGAACTTAAGCAGCGGCAGGAGATGGAGGCGCCCCCACAGAAGTGCGGTGTGGCCACTTAGCCGGAAGAGGAGCCACGCAGGAAGAGGCGGAGGAGAGTCTTAACCCCAGCTGAGCCCCTGAAGGACTGGGAGGCTGGGGGGATGGCCATGGGCCTCCCCCCAGGAAGGACTGTGCAATAGAGCCGCCCAGGGCAAAGCCTGCCCCCCTCCCGCCTGGGGTGAGTGCAGAGGCTCTCTTGGCTGGACCCCCAGACCTGGGGCCCTCAGCTGCATCACTGGAGCCCCCCAGCAAGCTTGTCTTCAGTCTGTGCCAAGGTGTTCTCTGCCACGCATGGGCCTTTCCAGGGGTCAGAGGAGGCTGCTGGGGACAGGGTACCCCGGGCTCTGTAAGGAGGGAGGGAGGGACTCCTGGGGGCCCACTGCCTTCACTTCAGCTTTTTGGAGGACCTGCAGCTGCCCTCGCTCACAAGGGGCCATGTGGAAGAAGGCCTCCTGCTCCTGCAATGCACTTTTGACACCCCCCCTCGTTTCCTTCTCCTCCCACCTCCCTTTCCACAAGCTGTCAGGCTGGGATGGAGGGTCCCTCCCTGTCCAGTTGCCCTCCTGCCCCCTTTCCCAAGCCTCCTGTGCATACTTGTATGATATGGGCAAAAGAAGGCAAGGTTGGCATCTATTTAAACTAAAGGCATCTTACCCTCGTGTGGGTGGGGGTGGCGGCAGGGGACTGGGGAGAAAGATGCATGGATTTTAATTCTGGAGCCCCCCTCAGCATCTCCTTTGTGTATTTTAGCCCAGCCTGTGGATGTCACTCCCCTCCATCTGTCACATGCCTACAGTTTTGCATGACTCTGGTTGGTTTGTACAAATTTACATTAAACTGCGAGAAAATCACCAGTGTAAACTCCTTGCAAGAGTATTGAATGGGCGCCTGCCCACAGCAGAACGGGGTGGGGGGAGGCCCTGGAGCTTCTTGTTGGGGGAACAGGCTGCAGACCCCTGGGCCATCAGGGATGGGAAGGAGCAGCGATGGGTCTCTCGGCGTGGGCAAAGAAAAATTCGCCAGCTCACTTGCCCGCTACATGTTCTGGATTGATGGAAGGGAGAGCACAGGCTGGCTCTGACAGAAGAGACCCTCTGAGGAAGTGGGGGGCAGAGACTGGGGAGGGGGAATTTGCTGCAGGCCAGACTTTGGCCCGCTGGCTTCAATTGTGCCCCCACCCTCCTTGGCCAGCCAGGCGCCATTCGCAACGTGCCAGTTGTGCCCTTTGTACTTCAAGGTCCTCCAGGGTCTTCCTCGGCCTGCTGGCCCACCGCCCGCCTGTTTGACACGGTATCGGCTCTCCTCCTCCGGCCCTCTGCAGGCCTGTCCAGCTGTGTCAGCGCCGGCCACTGGCCGAGGCCCAGCCCCCTTCCTTTTCAGTGGGTCACGTGAGTCTCCGTCTCTGCCGGCCAGGCCCGAGCGTGGCTGGCCAGAGACTCCCGGGACCCCCCACGCAGGGGAGCGTCTGTGCCCGAGGCCTCTTCAGCCCCAGCCTTGGGCACGGGGAGTGCGAGG